CTAAGCTTCCCTTACCTGGTTCAGTAGTGAACGCCCAAATGCAAGGGTTTTGTTCGTCCTCTTACAGCTTTCTATCCAAGGAGTCACTCAACAACTTTCACTTAATCTAAGACACCAAAAATCATAAACAACTCAGACCTATAACCCATGCATGCAACCAGAACTTGGTTCGCATGAATCAAATAGACGAACGATCAGAGACGAGAACTTACCAGCTCAGATCTCAGTTCTGTTCGGTCCAGAACGACGCTCACGTCTCAGGGAACGTTTCCACGGTCTCTGAAAGTTGATCGGAGAAGAAGACGATGAGTTACAGTAGAGAGAAGATGAAAGGGTTCTAGAGAGAAGGAGAAGAAAAATGCAAGGTTTGATTCAGAGGAAGAAGAAAGGTGTATGCGGGAATGAGGAAAAGGTTTTTCAGAAAATCAGCTTTCTTTCCAATTCAAACGAACACACTCTCCCCCACTGACACCTGGCTTCCAATACTGATTTCAGAACCTTCCACCGTGACACTTGGCAAGGAGACAGAGAGAATGAAAGTGCGTTTTTAATGCACTGCAGAGGGGTTTTCGGGATTCATTAAGAGATGGGACCGGTAATTATGGGTGTGTACTTTCCGAGGTCTCACATCAAACATTTTCTATAATTATCCATAGTGAGATAGACATAATATTTCATTTATTTGAACTCTTCCTATGTTTATCTGAAAAACTCAACAATTGATGTGGTTTCTAAACTGTTTTACAAATAAGAGAAATTCGTGGATATAACACTTTCAATATAAATGAAGAGTTTGTAACGTATAAAAAATTCAAAATTAAGAAAACGATTGTGAATTCAAGTAAGGTGCCACTTAATATGACCGTTGGATTAAATAGTAAGTCATCATTAGCAATGATAATTGATGATAATTAATTATATTAAAGGTACAATTTATTATTTTGAAGCTTTCAAAATATTGGCTAAACATGTAACCAATTATTACTTTAAAATAATTTTTTCATTAAATTATTTTTGTTGAATTTTCATATCATATTAAAAATATTATAGCCAATTATTTTAAATAATAATCAATTACATTTATTTTTTGAATAGTGTATTTAAAATTATTTCTTAAAATTGAAGAGAATATATTACACATTATAGAAAACAAACTTTAAGAGTTATTCAAGATACTTTCTCCTAAAATACTTTTTGAGCTTCATTAAACAACTTAGAGTTCTTAGATCAAATTGCACCAAGAAGTTTATTGGAATTTTTGTTCTCTTCCTTTGTACATTCTTACTTTAGAAATTAGTCAGGTGATATTTTCAAATTCATTCATCATTAGATAAATTCCTACAATTTAATTTGATGTGTTGGTGTTTAACTTTTAACTGCTGAATGGGTAAAAGCAATCAAAATATTCTCTGTAGTTCTGACAGGAACACAGTTGGAATAATAGAAAACTAAGGAGACACAGGGTGAGACACAGGGTGAGACTGGTGAGGTGAAGGGAGATACACTCATTTTATTTTGATAAATTTTTAAAAAGTAATATTTTTAAGTGCACTGCATATTATCCTGATAGAAAGAATATAATTATGTTGTATAATCAAAATTAATTGAATTAAATTAATAGTAGATTTAGGTTAATGTAAACTAATTAAACTAACTTATGTTAATGTAATCTCAATATCTCTCTACCTATTGTTTTTATTTTTATCTCTTCTTTATTGTTTTCTACTTTACTTTTCTTTAACCATTCAAACTAACTATCAAAATAATTCAAAATTTGTTGAACATCTATATTAAATAATTCAAAATTTTTTAACCACCTCTCTTGATTTGATGAACATCTATATTCTTACAAATTAATTAGAGAAAATAAAAGTTTAGACTAAAATGTTTATGAAATATCACGCAAACATAACATTATAAAAGGAAACAAATTTAATGATGAACGAAATTTGTCGATTATCACCAAAATCTTTGGTAAATTGATGATTTACTTATGATTAAAAAAATTGTTGATATACTTGTCAATAATTTTATTAATAGATATAAAGACCTTTTGAAAATTATCAATTATTAAAATTCGTTAATAAGTATTTATTGATAATTATTAATGAATTTTGGTTGTCAATAATTATTTATAAATAATTATTATGATTTAGTCTTTTTCTTTATCTTCAATTTTTTTCTTTTCTTTCTCCTTCGTTGTTATTGTCACTTTAGTGTTTGCTGCTTCCTTCTCCTGTTTTGTTTTCTTCTTTTCATCCTCTTTTTGTCGCTATCGTTGTCATTGTTATTGATATTGTCTTTGCGATATTGTCGTCACCTTTACATATGTTGTTGTTGCCTCTTCTTCTTCTTTCTTCTCATTTTTCTTCTTCTCATATATCTTCAATTAACTTATAACAAATATTTTGTTAGATTTGGTGAGAAAATTGACATATATTTTATCAATAGATTTACTTATAAATTTAAAAATATTTAATTATCGATGGATTATAAAAAAATTAAATTACAAATGGATTTAATGACTAATTTTATCGTGTGATATGGCTAAAGTCTAAAAAATGAAAACTTTAATATCCATTTATTGAAAAAAATATATGTTGATAAATTTTATCGACGGTTATTACATTTCTGTCAATAATAAACATTCTAATTTATTAATAAATATTATCCACAAATTTTATCAACAAATATATTAATTAAATTTCTATAATTAATTGATAAATTCTATCGACAAATTATTTTTGTCAATAAAATTTCATCTATAATTCAATCTTTTTTTCAGTGTAAAATTACAATTATTTTATATTTATTATTGATTAAATAAATATTTCCGATGAACATTTATAAATTAATAATCTAACTTAACCCTCGTTTCTTACAAATATGGAATTTCATTTGGATTTTTAAATTTCATTTTATCCGAATTAAAGAAATTTATTTAAAGGAGCTTGATCATATCCTTGTCTAGTTTTAAATTTTATAATCAGCATTTAGTTTGCAGCATATATATATACTGCCCATTGCTTAAATCAAATAAGTATTTCAAAAATTTTGATGAATAAAATATTACGGAGATGCATATTTTGAAAAAAAAAATTATTTGATTAGCGCAGTGGACGGTAAAAAAAAGTATACGTATATGAATATTTAATAAAAACAATTATAAGTCAGGTATTTCAACTTTTCAGGAAGGCCAGGGCCAAAAATGTTTCTTCAAGAAAAATAGATGAAATATCATCACGAAAAAAAAGGTAATGTCTATATGCTGGAAACCAATATAAAAAACAGTAAGAAAGAGTATATGATTAAACCAGATATTATAAAATGATTTGATTGCCCAAACAATGTTTCAATAGTCCAACTCAATCCAATTTTATTAGTTAGTGGAAAGATATGGTGAAAATCATAAAAAATTGCTCCTGCATCCCTCCCTTATCTCAATTGAACCAATTCTATTTAAGAGAGAAAGTAAAAGAACTAATCTCAATTTCTTATATTTGTATTCTGCTAGATTACCGTGTGCAGCTCGAACACAATGTCCACAGCTTTTACTCAGCCACCTCAACATTCAGCATTCGGAAAATACAAACGTTGGTTGCGTTTGTCCCTTTATACAATATTACTTCTGGCAGGCCAATGCACAGCCACACTTTTGGGAAGGTTCTACTTTGACAAAGGTGGTAAAAGCAAATGGATTGCAACAGCTAGTCTATCTTGTGGGTTCCCTATACTAATTCCACTCCTAATTTACTCTGCCAAATCAACCAACCATGATTCCTCCAAAACCAAAACCAAAACCGAACCAAGAAGCTCAGTTATGATTCCCTTGTACCTAGGTTTTGGTCTACTGTTGGCAGTAATGGACTTCTTGTATTCCTATGGACTTTCATGTCTTCCTCTTTCCACTTTTGCCCTAGTTTGTGCCACCCAACTAGTCTTCAATGCGATAGCTACTTTCTTACTCAATTCCCAAAAGTTCACTGCATTGATATTGAACTCTATAGTTGTTCTTACTATGTCAGTTGTCCTAGTCGCACTCAACACTGAATCCGAGGACAAAAACCTTCCGAAAGAGAAGCAACTAATCGGAATCTTCTGTGCCCTTGCTGCATCTGCCATGTTTGCTTTGCACCACGCTCTCTTGCAGCTTTATTTTGTGAAGATTGCAAAAACAGAAGAAACCTATCTTTCTCTGTTGAGGATGAATTTTTACCCCATGCTCATTGCTTCAGTCGCTGGCCTTGGGGGATTGTTTGGAAGCGGAGATTGGAGAAGTATGGGAAGAGAGATGAAGGAGTTTAAATACGGTGGAGTGTCTTACGTAATGACTCTGGTTTGGACTGCTGTGACATGGCAAATAGCATGCATTGGTATGTTAGGATTGATTTTTGAGGCATCTTCGTTGTTCTCTGTTGTAATAGGTAACCTGGAACTCACCATAACTCCTATCCTTGCTGTGTTTGTGTTTCATGACAAGATTTATGGGATGAAGGTTATATCCTTCTTGTTAGCTATATGGGGCTTGCTCTCCTATATTTACCAATATTATCTCGATGCCCAAAAGGCCAACCAAGATAAAATTGATGATGGCCTTGGCCTTTCAAAGGTATAAGAATTAATTTCATAAATACAACAGCACAAATAAAGTTTTATCAAAACTATATTTATGCATTGAGTTTTATAAAATAAAGTTTTGTATATCGTCTTCAGTACTATGGTCAATGTTGATTTTTCTTTAGTTCCAACATTCTATTCAGCACGTGATTATTGAGATATTTTCATTTTTTTACCGATCTCATTAGCAAGTTTCTTTTGTTGTTGTGATAAAAATGACTTTAAAACTAATTCAATTCCATACAATTTATATTCAGAGTGAAATATTATACTTAACAACATAAATTTTTTTAAGATAGACTCTAATCTAGATTAAAAAATAAATTTTAAATCTAATTAAATCCTAATGAACCAACTTGTAAAATTTATAATCATTTAAATATTATAAATTGATTTAATTTCTAGTCGTGAAACTTAAAAAAAACATATTTAGAGTTTTCATATCTTTAATTTGGTTATCTTCTTTTTAGTTAGCTACTTTCTTGTAAATAAAATTTTATTATCAATATCATAACTAATTTTCATAATATAATTATCTGAATTTGTTTCAATTTTAACATAGATTATTTGCATTGATATGCGTATGAGTATATATAATATTTGATTTTTTTGATTCAATATGAAATATGAATGACTATATATATATATATATATATATATATATATATATATATATATTTAAGAGTATTTTAATCATTAAAAAATTAATTCACAATCTATTTCCACCAATTCACAATCTATTTTTAAGAGTATTTTAATCATTAAAAAATTAAATATAATAGAAGTAAAATTTCTGTAAAAAATGGTTGATACGAAAATAATAATATCCTAATATAATTATTTTATTAAATATAATATTCAGGTTCGACATTTCTCACCGAGAGTGAAAATAATAAAAAAGAATTGACTGATACGAAAAAACGGAAGAAAGAGAAAGCTGCGAAGCCAATAGCCTTAACGCAAGTCTACTATAAAGGACGCCTCTCGCTTACGTGGTCCATCGTTCCAACTCTCTCCTTCCAAATTTTAAAAATATTCTCTCAGAAAAGCGTAAGCACGTAACGGAAAACACACTAACAACAAAAATAGCTTCCCTTATTCTCATTTCTCTGTTCGTCTTCCTCTTTACTCTGCTACTCCTCTTTCGCTCTTCCACTTCCACACCCTCACTCTCATTCCTTCCCTCGCTCAACCAACCAATGGACACCTTGATCGCACTCGTCAACCGAATTCAGCACGCCTGTACGGTTCTCGGCGACCACGGCGCCGGCGCCGCTTTGCCTACACTCTGGGAAGCCCTTCCCTCCGTTGCCGTCGTCGGCGGCCAGGTTCGCTCTTCTCGTTTCTTCCATTCCTTCCCTTTCTATCCATTTCGTTATCTACGCCACTTATTTTAAGTCTTTTAGAGTTCTGGAAAGTCTTCGGTTCTGGAGAGCATTGTCGGTCGCGATTTTCTTCCGCGAGGATCAGGTTATTTATTCTTATAGCTTCAACTGTTCATTCTTTGATTATTAATTTTTGTTTTTCATTCAGATTTGTCCTGTTTGGTCAGGAGAGGGAAATGGTTGGATCTTTTGAAAGAGAAATTCATTTGTTTTTTTTTTTAATCTTGCTTGTGTAATTTAATTTTTTTTTGTCATTTTTAGGGATTGTGACGCGAAGGCCTTTGGTGCTGCAGCTGCACAAAATAGACGAGGGACTACAGGATTATGCGGAATTTCTGCACTTGCCTAAGAAACGCTTTACTGATTTCTGTACGTCTTCTTGTTTCTCATGCAAATGATATTTATTTTTATTCCCCATTTTAAGATTCTGGAAATAAGAGTTCTTTAGACTACACGTTGCATACTCAGCATGCATGCCTTTCTTTCTCTATTTCTTTCTTTTCAATGAAGTGTTTGTAGCCTGGTTTATCTTTGAAAATTTTTTCTTTCTGATCTGTCATTCTTTCAGGTTTAATTCTTTTTTTGCATTGGTGGCTAAATATATGTATCTCGCAACTGCATGCTTTTCATCAACACATGATATCTTAATCTCTATTTGGCTTGCTACTTTAGCATTTCCTGGTTAAAGATTTAAAACCTCATCCGATGGTCTCTGGACTCGTGATGACATGAATTATTATGTTTTTGACAGTGTAGGACATTTTACAAAGATCATCCGTCTACCACTGATTGCATGCTATGCATGCTTCTTTGGTTGCCCAAAATTATATAATGACATTCGCTGCAAGTGTTATGTCTTTTGGTAAATATTATGGAAGTTGACACCAGGAAAATCTTTGAATATATGGTTTACATTACTCAGAAGTAGATAAGCAATTTTCCTATCTTTTGTTTTAGATAAACTATTTTCAATTTGATGTTTGATATCTTTTCATCTTCTATAGCTTTGGTTCGAAAGGAAATTGAAGATGAAACTGATAGACTGACTGAGAAAACAAAGCGGATATCTCCTGTTCCTATTCATCTCCGCATATATTCCCCGAACGGTAAAGTTTTATATGTATATTTACATTTTCATTTTTTGGTGTGATATGTACTGCACTATTCCTCGATTTAGAAACCCTCTCATGGTTCTGGGATATGGGAAGAAAAAGGCTTTTTTCTATTGTCTTAAAGCATAATTGATGTTTTGTGGGAGAGAAGATGTAATCAGTCCTTGTCTCCTGAAATCTTGATAGTTTCATTTGTGCTATTTACTTATTGATTTATTTGATGCTGTATTTTCAGATTATAGTTACCATGTTATATGACTTACATTGCGTATCAATTAAAAGCGATCCAGTGTTTTTTCTCCAGTACCGTATTTATAATTGAATTGCATTATAAGTTGCTCAAGAACTAATATCATTTTGAATTGCGTATTTATTATAACAATCAAGGGAATTACGTGTGCTTGGCTGCCTTTGCCTGTAGTGAGGTTGCTGTCTGTATGTGAATTGTCAATTTTTCGTTTTCTTTTGTGACATTAAAGGTTTTCTATTTTGTTGTTGATAGTTGTCAATCTAACACTGATCGATCTGCCTGGTTTGACAAAGTTTGCTGTAGGTATGCTTTCTTTTTATTGTTCTTTTTTCATATATACCAAGTCTTTTTATCGTTTACCTTTTTCCCAATAATAAGTCAAGGATCTTCTATTTTTTCAGAGGAACAGCCAGAAAGTATTGTTCAAGACATTGAAAACATGATTCACTCATATGTTGACAAGGTAACTGAAGACGTAATTTTATAGCTTAGGGAAGAACTTTCTCTTGGTCTTATCTCTTTCTTTATTTTTCTTATTTGGTTGTCTTAAAGTAGTTGCCTGTCCCATGTTGGATAAAAGCCAATGAAAGATGATATATAATAAGTTTATTGTCTTAATTTAAATTACTTCTCCATTTCCTGTGATTAATGTACTGGCAATCGTCGGTTACATTAATTTTTTCGTCAAAAGGTGTTAGCATTTTGAATTTTAAATGTTGTTGGGACTTTTTAACTTTTTCCTTTATTACATTATACCCTTGAACGTGTGCCAGAACGATGATAATAATTTGAACTTGCACCTTCCAATTAATTTCTCATTTTACAGAATTTGACGTTTTCATGGATTTACTGTTGTTTCAGCTAAGGGCACTTTTTTGAAATCTGTCCATCACATTATTTTTTGTGTTTTTGCAGCCTAATTGCTTAATTTTGGCAATTACTCCTGCAAATCAAGATATAGCAACTTCAGATGCCATCAAGGTTTCTAGACAAGTTGACCCTGCTGGTATGCTTCATGCATTTTGTACACCGCCATGCTTCAACTATTCAAATTATATGCATTTATTGTTTTGTTATGCTATTATGGTGTTTTCTTGATACTGCGTTCAAAATGTTTAGGGGAAAGAACTTTTGGTGTGCTGACAAAGCTCGATTTGATGGACAAAGGAACAAATGCTCTGGACGTAAGAATCTTGGTTTTCTAGTACGCTGTAAACTCGTTATATTGTATTGTTGACCTGTGATGAACCTAGTCCCGATTTTACGTGAATTTTATTGACATGGGTACAAAATAATTTTACATCTCACCCTTCATGTTACCATTTTGAACATCTTTTAGGTCCTTGAGGGAAGATCTTATCGACTTCAAAACCCTTGGGTGGGAATTGTAAACCGTTCTCAGGCAGATATTAATAGGAATGTGGATATGATTGCTGCTCGGAGGAGAGAACGTGAATTTTTCACTACCAGCCCTGATTACTCACACTTGGCCAGCCAAATGGGCTCGGAATATCTAGCCAGGATTCTCTCCAAGGTTTCTATTTATGTGCAGTTTTTAGTGTTGCGAAGACATTCTCTTTTGCTAATTTTTTTCTGCTGTCCAGAGTTTACTTGGTTGGTTACTTATAGAAGTGATTTGGTTTCAGCATTTAGAGTCTGTGATAAGAGTTCGGATTCCAAAAATTGCATCTTTAATTAATAGAAACATTGACGAGCTCGAAGAAGAGGTGACACGCCTTGGTAGACCAGTTGCTGTTGATGCCGGGGTGAGGAATTATATTTTTACTTCTTTATACTACAATATAAAAGTTCAAGTAATTCTTCTAATTTTATCCCTCTAATTTTATCAGGCTCAGCTGTACACTATTCTAGAATTATGCCGCGATTTTGAACAAGTATTTAAGGAGCATTTAGATGGAGGGTAAGATTTTTATTTTATTTTCGGTTCAAACTGGTGACAATATCAATAATTGAAGGGAGGAGCTGATTATTTAATAATTATTGAGAAACTTAAATCACAATCATATACTTTGTTTTTGTGTTTTTCTTTACAATATTTGGGCGTGATAAGTAATTACAACTAACTTTCTCATGATTAGACCTCATTATATCAATGCTATTAATTCTTATTTGTCACCCAAAAAAGCCTGGACCTTCTCTAGTTTATTGTATTTCCTATCTTAAGGCGACCAGGGGGCGATAGAATTTATAGGGTTTTCGATCACCAGCTTCCTGCTGCACTGAGAAAGCTTCCACTGGACCGTCATTTATCGTTACAAAATGTGAGAAAAGTGATATCTGAAGCAGATGGGTACCAACCTCATTTAATCGCTCCAGAGCAAGGTTACCGGCGCCTCCTGGAGAGCTCACTTCACTACTTCAAAGGTCCTGCTCAAGCTTCAGTAGATGCTGTAAGTGCCTTTGCGTTAGATTGTTTGGTTCAGTTCTATTCTTCGATCGGAACTAATTTGCTTCATTATTGATTTTTGTTTTATGCTTTCTTTGAGACCAACTTCAATCCCGACTATACTTAGCTACACTTAATGCTATATTTGTGGCAGGTTCATTTCGTATTGAAGGAAATAGTGAGGAAGTCAATTGCAGAAACACAGGTTTGAGTTGAATTTATTTATTTTGAATTTTTGACTGCTGATGGGGATGAATGAAGTAACATGCTTTTATTTAAATATGACAATGATTTTAGGAATTGAAGCGGTTTCCAACCCTTCAAGCCGAAGTAGCAGCAGCAGCTAATGAGGCATTAGAGAGATTCCGCGAAGACGGTAGGAAGACAACGTTACGGCTGGTGGAAATGGAATCATCCTACATTACCGTTGATTTCTTCCGTAAACTTCCTCAGGAAGCTGAGAAGGGAATGAATCCAGCTCCCTCCTCTGTAGAACACTATGCTGAGGGACACTTCCAGAGAATTGGTTCCAATGTTTCATCGTATGTCGGGATGGTGTCAGAAACGTTGAGGAATTCCATTCCAAAGGCCGTGGTTCATTGTCAAGTGAGGGAGGCTAACCGATCTTTACTAGACCATTTTTACGCACAACTGGGAAAAAAGGAGGTATATAATACGTAACTTATGAATAACATGGATTCATCTTCATTTAGAGGATCAAACATCTATGGATATATGGGGGGCATTGGATGAACTACTGCTAAATATTTATTAAATATTTCACAGGATCAGATATCTTGATATACAACGTCAAAACTCAGTCTTGTCTGATAATCAAAATGCAGTATCTCAAAATAGATGGAAATATTTTCAACTAATATTTTTCTGTTTATTTTTCAGGAAAGGCAACTTTCACAGTTGCTGGGTGAAAATTCCGAGTTGACGGAAAGGAGACAGCAATGTGCCAATAGGTTAGAGTTATACAGGTCAGCAAGGGATGAGATTGAAGCTGTTTGTTGGTCGGGATAAAAAGAATTAGATGATGGCTCCTGCTTGTTACTATTCGCATAAAAAATTCCATTTATTGATTTTTTTCTTCTGCTTTTACGCTGATCTCGGATTCAGAACTCCACTTATGTGTACCAGAGTTCCAAATTCTTTACGAGGGTATATTAAATTAATTCTTAATTTCATTTATATCCATTGATATAATTGTTGAATTAAAACAAAAAAAAAAAAAACAAAACTCTGGTATCAGGACTCGTTGATTATTGAGTGCTGTCAATGTGATTCTTAGCTAACTATATGCAATTTTAATTAATAGTTGACATGTATTAGTCAACTTGGTTTTTATCGAGGGGTTAAATTAGTTAATAGTTGTCAAATTTAAACATTAAATTAAAATAACATGTAATAGTAAGACTTATAAATTGATTGACTGCAATTTTTGATATCAAATTAGTTAACTTTTTGGACTAAAATTTCACTATTTTATGGCTAATTTGGCTGGTAAATTATATTTAAGAACTAATTTAATATATTTTTTATTGGATTAGGAGGCAATAGATTTACCTGTGAATTTGTGTAACTAGTTTTTTGTATTTATTAAAGTTTTCCTTTATAAAATTTTCAGCCAAGTTTAAATGCATGTTTTTCTACGAAATAAAATATGGATGTCTATTAAAAATCTTGATATAAATAAATTTATACAATATAAAAATATTTTAAAAATAAATATCATAAATAATGTCAACAAAATACCATAATATCTTTCTTTAAATAAATATTATCGTTTTTTATCTATCTCTAGAAACATTCTTATTTATTAAATGAATAGAAAATTAAATGAAAGCAATTACACTTAATAGAGTAGACATGATTGAAAATGAAATAAAATGAAAAATTATAATAATTGTGGTCTAAATCTTATATCTCTTTTGAATTCATATAACTCAAGGTTTGGTATCTTCTTATTCTTCGCCAAGTGTTTGTAGATATATATTTTTTGTTTGGAAGAATAATTCAATGCTTTGTTGAGTGTCTTGTGAGACAAATGAGTCTATATGTTGAACTTTTTCTAGTGTGTACTTATGGAGCCAAATATATTTTGAGAAATTAAGCTCCACATATTTCCTCAATTTTCTATGCGTTAAGTATTCTTTTTTCATCCTCTCCGTACTCGTTCTTTATAAATAAATAATATATTTATAAATGACATTTTGAGACTTAAATTAAAAGAGTGCGTCAAAATAAATTTTCTGTTCACTTATATGTTTATAATTTTATTATTATAAATTGTCTAATTAAAAATTATATTTTATAAAAAAAAACTTATTTAAAATATAATTTTGTTTTCAATAACTTTTTTAAAATGAAAAAAAAAAAGAAAAAAAATTTCTTTACACTTGAGATTAAAACTGATAAAATATATTCTTGATGGCTTAACAAGATCCCTCTCATTATCTTCTATATATATTAAAAACACAAGAGTACATGAAACACCAAGAGTTTACACTAGACCTCTAGGTACAAAACTAGGTACTAATCATTACTAGTCTAGCAGACTAGCCTTAATGATGATATGTAACAGTAATTATTCTAACACTC